TTTAAAAATTTTTTTAAATAAAGAATTTTAAGAACTATAGTCTTTGCAGAGAAAACAAAACTATGCAAATCTAATAAGAGACTAAAATAAAAATGAATTAACATAAAAATTTACCTTTCAGGAAGCTGAGTTGCAACCACAATGGTAAACCTACAGAAAAACGAAGGATCATTGTCTAGAAGGTTTTCTGGACTCTATATAGGACACAGGAAAAAAATTAAACAATTTTATAATCATGTTAAACATGGCAGAAACAGTTAAGCTATTTTAGAACAAATGAAGCAACATGTTAGACTCCAGTGTTAAAGTAATTCAACTCTTAAATATACAAAGATTCAAAATTCTAAATGCTAGGGCACCTGGCTGGCTCAGTCAGTATAACAGGTGACTCTTGATCTCGGGGTCACCAGTTCGAGCCCCATGCTGGGCGTAGAGATTACTAAAATAAACTGAAAATTCCAAACTCTTAGGGCTCTGAATTATTAAAAAATTACATTTCCACATATATATATACACCATATATACCTCTTCCACAAAACTCCCGGAGACATCGTTATTTAATTCTTGTAAGAATTCCATGGCAGCCTGAGCTCGGTTCTTTAAAAAAAAAAAAGAGCATTTGACTTGAATTAGAAAAAATTTGGTTAAAATATAACCACTCAATTTACAGATCAAGCAAACATATTATAAAACTTCCCAAATTTCATGCATAGCTATGACAATTCTGCTTTTCATAGTATTTAAGCTGAGGTTCAACCACAATATTTCTTTAAATACTACTTAAATGACTATATTATTTGTACCCAACTTTTCTGAGCAGGCAAATGACCAGAAAACCTTGGGTAGCAGGCAGAGATATTCTGGACCAAGTTTAGACTCACTCTAACCTCCCACATTTATAATCCTGTATGAGAGGTCAAAGAAACAGTCATTTCCATTCAGAACACTGTATTAAGTTGACTATTATGGCTTTGTAAGAATTTTAATACAGAACATACAAAAATAAAAGATATGCTGGCTAACTCTTAAAAATCTTGTTAACCAGAATATTCCATCCTCCTTATGTTAATCTCAAGGTTTAGCTTTAATACAGGATACAGCTTAAAAACATAGACAGTACGTTTAAGTTCTTAAACTACCAAGCATATAAAGATTTGCGAGATTTAAAAAAAATAAAGCTAATTTAACTTTTTTCTCAGAGAAATAAAAGCTCTTTGAACGTCAAAGCTTTCCAAGCAATCAAAATACAGTGGCATCATTAGATGCTCAAACACAGCTATATTCTATAATAAACCGATGGTTTACCTTGCCGATGCTGCTTCTTTGAAGGAAAAAACTAGAACAGAATTAAAAAAAAAAATTAAGGGCTTCTTTGACGATAAAGGGAAGGTTATTTGTAACACCAGGTATATTTCATTCATAGTATAAATACTAACTGTATTTTAATAATAGATTATTAAATTTATTTAATAACAGCGTTCCTGGAGGAAGATAACAGGATGAAATTTGTAATCAAAGACCAGGCTAATAAATCAATGTTCCCAAAGTGTGTACCACAGAACACAAATTTCATAAGATGCTCTGAGAGAATAAAAGTTCCCTGGCTTGGGCGCCTGGGTGGCTCAGTTGGTTAAGCGACTGCCTTTGGCTCAGGTCATGATCTCGGGGTCATGAGACTGAGTC